AATCTTGTAGCATATTCATTGTCAATATGGTTAATTAAAGGCGATATTTCTCGAGTTCACTCCATAGTTGTGGTAGTGTGGTTGCAACCCCTTGACAACCTGCCTAAGTTTTAAATTTTACTACAAGAGCAGATGTACTGAATAAATTGGAAAATACAGTGACCCTGATTTTACGTGATCTTAAAGGAACCCTTGATAATTTTGGTTGCAGCTGCTGCATGTTTTGGCCTTATACTCCGTTGTTTTGATTGTCCTGTGGTTCGTCATTCAAAAGCATGAGAAGTTCATATTTTTGATTGTCTTCCTGGGAGTTCTATCAAATAAAATTGCAAGGATTTGCGTTGCAAGCACCCAGCTTGGTCCGACATTGTATGTGAGTCCAATTTTCTCCAGCTGAATATAAGTCCAAGAAAACACTCTTTGACATATAAACTTCCATAGTGATCTTTACTCAAAACAATTATGATATTTGGTGCTTTTTAAAATTCAAAGTATTAGGAATACTTCCAAAAATTAGAACAAAGTTATCATCATATCTTGGTGCTTGATATTTTACAGTTTGTGCATATGTGTATTGAATACTGTATATCTGCATGTTGGTTAATACTTTTAAAAATAAGAATGTGTGGGATTGATTTCATTCACTACTCATAACTTAGATGTGCAAATTTCTTAATTATTTGGGAATTTGCAAGTTTTTGTTTTGTACTTGTTTTTCTTTGTGCTGAATTTTCTGGATATGCACACAGATAATGAATTGTTCTGTCAAGTCAGATGTTACACTATTACTGTCCCCCTCTCGTCATAAAATAGAAACAAGGGTTCTATATGTTGAAATTGGATCCCCTCTATTACTTTTCTCTCTATTTCTAATAAGGAGAGAAATGAAGAGAAAAAGTGAAGGAGATGATCCAAATCTATATGTTTACTTCTAAACCATATAGAAATCTGAAACCTAAAATAGATAGGGCTACTACATGGCATCAAGAAGAAACACACATCTTTTTTTCGAGCGTGGAAGAGGAAAGAGTAGGCTTGTTTTAAAAATACCAATGAAAACTTGGACTTGGATCTTCAAGGACGCATGATGCACTCCTCTTTCCTCTGCAAGGACATCAACAAAACTTGGATTTGGAATTTTTGTACTGCCTTAAATGAATGGTTCAACCCACATTTTAGCCGATATGATAATACAATCGAGTGGTTGGGATTAATGCAAATTGGAAATCATTGCAAAAAAGACAATACATCATTTGTTTTCGGGAAGCATAGGTGCAGCTCTTTGTGTGTTTTTGTTGTTCTCGTATATACAATTTATTCCACCTAGTATGTTATTATTTGTGATCCAATACAAACATCTAAGTCAAAACAACATTTAAGTTTTGTCCTAAGATGTGTGCATACGCAAGAAATACTTTTTTTCCTCCCAAATTGTTGTTATTGGCCAATGACAATTATCATATTCGAAAAAATTAGAGTTATATGATTGACGGTCCATCTTTAGTTGCCATAATTGCTGACATTTTGGTTTGTTTTCATTAGAGCCTCCAATACTTAGTCCGATATTGATTAGAGATATGACTTGTGATTGACGGTCCATCTTTATACGGTCCATCTTTATTCGCCATAATTGCTGACATTTTGGTTTGTTTTCATTACAGCCTCCAATACTTAGTCCGATATTGATTAGAGATATGACTTGTGATTGACGGTCCGTCTTTATTCGCCATAATTGCGACATTTTGCTTTGTTTTCATTACAGCCTCCAACACTTAGTCCGTCATTTATTAGAGATATGGTTTGTGGTGTGTTTTAGAGATATGACTTGTGATTGATGGTCCATCTTTATTTGCCATAATTGCAACATTTTGCTTTGTTTTCATTACAGCCTCCAACACTTAGTCCGTCATTGATTAGAGATATGGTTTGTGGTGTGTTTATAAGTGTAGGTAATTCTTATTTTACAAGTCAGTTTGTGTCTAACTTAAGTTTATTGTTGGACTTCCCACATTGTCCACGCCTTGGGCTTATTGAGGTCCAACAACGGTTTGCTTTTGTTGATGACAGATCAAAAATACTAACCGTGGATGAAAAAATCACACCCATTTAGGTCAGATGGCGGCTTACTCGAATTATCGATTATGTGGGTTGGTTAGAACGGTTTGTGATAGGTTTCAGACACTAAAAAAGGATGTTTTTCCAAACATTTCAAACAGATTAGAAGAACAATATCCTGAAAAAATTAAAGTTTTAAAAATTAAATAAAAATAAACCTTCAATTTTAATTAATAGCTTGTGTCACAAAATTATGTACATTTTCATATCTTCATAGTTACAAGAACAACCCCAATAAAAATTGATGAACAAATTTGACTTTTATATTTAAAGAAATTTGGAGAATAAATTAGCAACAAATCTGATGCATGAAAGATAGATCAAAGCAACATACTCCTTAAATGCATGTTTCAGTAATGGAGAAAGAAATTATGATGCAGTAATGCAGATATGAAATTGGATCTACGTTTGAAAGAGGAAGGAAAGATGAGTAATGCAGATATGAAATAGAGGAAGGAAAGATGAAGACAGAAGAAAAGGTTGACACTTGATTTGAGGTGAAAGAGGCTAGATCAAAGAAATGTGAGTGAGATATAAAAAAAAAAAATATTATTTTATTGAGATATACCTTAGTTTCTTGAGCCATGTTAATCAGTTAATAAAAAATTCAACAAAAATCTCTATTCTGTTGGTTGGATATTGAAATTTTATATCTGAAACATTTCATAAACAACCGTTTCAGATTGAAATGTCTCCACCCGTTGACCAGAGACCCGATAAAAACCTACCCAAAAATTGCAAATATCCAACGGATTTGTCGGATTCAATTCGATATAGATATTTTGTCCAACCTAAGAAATACTTTTTTCCTCCCAAATTTTTGTCATGTGCCAATGACAATTATACGTTTTTTGTCGCCTCAATTGTGACACTTTGACTTTTTATCACATCCTCCTACATCTTCACTATGTTTAGTCCCGTGTTGATTAGAGATATGGTTTGTGATGTGTTTATAAGTGGAGTCAATCATCATCTTACAAACCAGTTTTGTAGGGATGAATTAGACTCAACCCAAATTTTGAGATGGTACCAGAGCATATCTTAAGTCTGTTGTTGGACTTTCCACATCGTCCACGCTTTGAGCTCATTGATGCTCAAGCGTGAGGGGGGATGTTGGAATTTTTGCCTTAATTGCAATCTGTTCCTAGTCGCCTTAATTGCGCCGCTCTAGTTTTGAATGGGTAAATGCGCCGCTCTAGTTTTGAATGGGTAAATTTAGTTTCACATTGATTAGAGATATGACACGTGGTGTATTTATATGTGGAGATAAACCTCGCCGTACAAACTGATTTTGTAGGGAGGAGTTAGGCTCAATCCAAATTCTGAGATGTGTTAAGAATCTCACTTCGAATAATATATGACTTGAACATGTGCTTATAAGTGAGGACAATCTTTATTCTATAAGTCGGTTTTATATGATTGAATTAAGCTCAACCATATTTTTTAGTATGATATCAGAGTCTGATTTAAGATCCAGTGAGACATTTGTTATCAAATTTTTACTTTTGGACCACCTATCATTTATTTTCATACTTTAGATATTTAGTCTTAGACGTGAAAAAATGTGTTAAAACTAAAAATACTATATTAAATAATATATGAGATAAACATGTATTTATTAATAGGTGTAATTATCATTTTATAAATTAATTTTATAAGATTGAGTTATACTCTATCACATTGTAATGAAAAATGATTATGTGTAAAAAAATCAGATACTCAATTCGAAGTAATTTTTTTTTAATATTGCTTTACCATTCTTTTGTCATTTGCTTGTAAAAAGAAAGTATATTCTTTTGATAAAAATGTGACTTTTTTTCTACCCAATAAAAATGTTACTTTTAGAAAAAGGAAAATGGGAAAAGAAAAAGTAAATAGCGCATGCAATTATGAGTGAAAATAAAAGACTAGACTTTAACCATTTGGTAGAGATTTTTCAAAACAGACCCTTGATGTGTTTCAAACTTTTAACTTAGAGTCTCATCCCTTTTTTATATTAAAATTTTGTTTAAGACTTAACTCCAATGTGAATCAAATATTAGAATATAAAATTATGGCATAATTAGTTTAATCTATTATTCAAGGATTAATTGATAAATACTAATTCCAACTGAAGTTGATATTATTTGTTCTCTATCAGAAAAGGTTAAGTTTTGATACTCATAATTGTGAGATTTTCTAACACACTCTATATAAACTATTTTAATGCTCTATTTTTAATCAATATGAAACTTTATGATTTTTCTAACACACCCCCTCACGCCTAATACTTTTTTTGAATTTGGTGAGTGGATTTAAACGGTGTGTTGCCTAAGGTCTGATCGATAGACTCTGATATTGTATTAGAGTTTAGCCTAACATATTCCTACAAAACTAATTGGCAAGGTGAATAATACAACTCTATATAATTCTATCTCTAATTAATGTAGGACTTTAGGGTTCAATCGAAAAAAATTGTTTCGTTTCATTTTGTCATTATTATACAAATAAGTGGAATTTTTTGGGATTAGGATTGAGATAGAAACAAGCACTTGTATTTCATAGTGACTTACTTTAGCCTTTGATAGTGACATATATTCTATGGTCCATCCATCCATATACTACAATCAATTTCAACCCCCCTTTTAGGTTTTAAGTTTAATTTGTTTCTTAACCAAAAACCAACCTATTTAATATCTTAAAATAAACCATGCAAAAATAATCTTTGTGCTATCTTCTTCTTTTCTCAATCTCTCATCAACATGAACTACTACATTAATTAAATATATGTAACAAATAAAATAGGATACACTTGAAGATGTTTTCTCAATATATAAAAACAAATAAACCAACTAGTGTTAATGTTAATACATAAAGAAACATTCAACATTACAACAAAAAAAATCTTATACTTCTGCATTGCCCTTCTGTTTCCTCCTTGATCTGCTGTATAACCTGGACGGCGGAGAAGGCGAGAACTCAAACGGAAGCGGCGGAAGCTCCATCTCCCCTTTCAAAATCTTAACAATATCGCCGATATCCGGCCTCAACTCTGGAATCTTCTGTAAACAAATGAGTGCCAAGTTGATACACAAACTTGCCTGTTCTTTATTGTAATCATCTCTCAATTTCTCATCAACTAGTTCCAAAATGTTACTTCCACTAGCCTGAGCCAAATGTCTACACCAGCTTATCAAATTCGCTTTCTCTAACTTCATCGGAGACGCAAGAACATGTAACGGTCTTCTACCTGATATAATCACAAGTATCAAAACTCCGAAACTGTATATATCCGCTTTCTCCATTAAGAATCCACACCCTCCGTATTCGGGCGCAACATAACATAATGTCCCTCTCATACTAGTCGTGCTGCTGAGTTCGCGGCTGAAAAGATCGCCACTCCACATATCACTTCCGATTGATCGCGAGCTTTTCTTCCTCCAGCCTCTTCTGAAGCTAAACTCGCCATTTTGCTCGCACTCGTTCGGTCCTTCCTCTCCTCCATAGTTCTTGTTACTTTCACAAAGATAGAACCTTCTACCTAAACCAAACCGCGGAACTTTCAACCCTTTCTTCCATTTCGTTTGAAGATTTCTCAGCTTGTTTCTCTTCTTCTTGCTTAACTCATCAAGATGTTCTTCTTTCCACCATTCTTGCATCTTCCTATTCTTGTTCTTCTTGTTCTTGTTCTTCTGGTTTTTCTTTCCTTTCACCTCTTTCATATCAACAACTCCATTATCCATATCTTCTGTCGTAGAAACATGTAACCGAGTTCCAGTTACAATTGTATCATTACCTTTATCTATTGGACTTGAATTTTCCAACTCAGATTTCTCGCGACTGTTGTTGATGTTCTTAGTATTCACAATACAGTCATCATCCCAATCGGCATTTGATGGACAAATTTGACTCCCAATCCATTCCTTAACATAATCTTTACTACACAATTCGCCACTCCCATCTTGTCTCCACCACCAATCTTTTCCCCATTGTTTCCCATTTTCCTTCTCATCATCGACCAAACAAGCATTATTAACAACCAAATCCTTACTATAATCATTGCTACAAAACTCATCATCATAAGGAACAAACATATCAAAACTCGAAACTTCTTTCCCTTTTGCATCTAAACTCCTACTTTCACTCTCACCAACAATATTGGCATTATAATTCAAAGAGTTCAAGTTCAAAGCTTTACCATTTAAACAAGTCCTACTATTTTTCGACGAAGACGAAGCTTGCAAAGCAAGAGCAAAATCAACTTCACTAACACTCTCAACAGGAGTACCAATTACAGGAGTTTCTACTGTCAAATTACCTGAAAGATCCTGACTTTTCCAAAGATCCTGACTCTTGCCCAAATCCTGGCTAAACAAATCAACTCCAAATTCACCCTCCACCTTAATCCTCGACAGCCCAAAATCCGAGATCTTCCCGCGAAACTCGGAATCAAGCAACACATTACTTGGCTTAATATCACCATGAATCACAGGTGGATCACATCCAAGATGCAAAAACTCCAATGCTCTAGCAACATCCATTATCACACAAAACCTTCTCTCCCAACTCAAACCAAAGCACTCATCACCAAAAAGGGACTCTTGCAAACTTGCATTAGGCATATACTCATACACCAAAACCCTCTTGTTCTTTTCAACACAATAGCCTAAAAGGGTCACCAGAAAAGGTGATCTCAACCCTCCAAGAATCTGCAACTCATTCTGAAACTCTCTCTCAGATTGCAAAGACAGAGAGTCCAAACACTTGATAGCAATAAATTTTCCATCTTTAAGCACACCCTTGAAAACAGTACCAGAACCACCTTTGCCAATGACATTGGCAGTGTCAAAACCATTGCTAGCAAGCTTTAAATCCTTGTAAGAGAATCTCTGCAGCTTCAAAGGAGCACTGGCATCAAAAGGTATAGTCTTTGCTCTATGAACAAGAGAATGCCAAAGATGGTAAAGAAAGTAGAGAATTGAAAACACAATGACCACAGAAGCTGAAATGGTGAGTGCTATGAATAGAAACTTGGGTTTGGAGAAAAGATTGGAACTTGTTGAAGGGAATTGTCTTGAAGGCATTATGGTGTGAGTGAATGAATGAAAATTGATCACAAGTAATGAAGAAAATGAAGATTGTGATGTTGGGTTTTCATTACTACTTTTTGTGTTAGTTTTATGAACTTGGTATCCAAAGTAAATTGCTTTACAATTAGATAATCATTAGAGAAGAAACTGTTTTCTTTTTCTCCTTGATTTATGGTTTTCATTATTTTAGTCATATAATGGGATGAGATTAAGATTGGCAATTGGGGAAGAGAGTGATGAATGGACCCAATGTGCTTTTTTGACTAAGAGATACTTTTTATAGCAAAGTCTTGGAATACTTATTATTACTATGATATTTTTCAACTTAAATTTTAAAATAAACATCTTTCTCTAACTCTATATTAAACTTTTAATGGATAAATAAACACATTCTAAATCTAAATTGATTATCTAAAAACACATTGTACTGCCTCACACATATTTGCATCAAAATAGTTGTTTATTATTGGTTGAATAAATGAAGCATTGGAATCAATAGGATGAAATTGAAAGGAAAAGTGAGTTCTTCCTTGCAGTGATTTTGTCTTTATGTGGCATGACTAGGGCCTTGTTTGGAATCTAGAGATACTGTCCATTTTTAAATTATCTATAGCTTGTAGTTTTTGACTAAAGGTTTACACTTCACACTAGGAAGCACAGGTTCACATGGTTTTATGTCAATAATTTCTAGTTCTCCATTATTCTCACATTGCACCTCTGGTCCCATGTTGCACTCACAATGCATCATCATTATATTAAGCTTTCACTAAAGTGTATCCTTATTGTTAGGGGTCACATTTGAAGATATAAATTACTCTAAATAATTTGACTTTTATAATATATTTTGAGCATTAGTATCTTTTTATCAAATGAGAGAAATTTGATTTTTATCTTATTTATTTTTATTTCACGATAAACTAATTAAAATAAATGTTATATGTCATCTCATTCTAGTGCTATTAAGTAATTATAAAGTAAATAAAATATCATTTTCTTAAATCAGCTCAGATTATGCAAAGATATATACAAAGGTGCGAGTTTGAACTCACACCTATTTGTAAAAAAATTAATAAAATATATATTTAAAACCTTTTTTTTAAGAGAAAAAACTTGTTATGTCCTAATTCCAAACCTTAATTACCCTGTAATTTGGAAAATGCACCACATGACACATTATTGGTACCATAATATCATTCGGGGTTCAATAATTTCGCCATTGTAGGCCCTTTTTCTACTTTGACAAACCTTGTTCTCTCTTTTTTTTTTAACAGACGGTTCTTGTTGCATGATAAAAGTTTAATAGTTTAAATAAACAATTGCAAATTGTCATCAAATTCAAATTTATATTTTTTAAAACTCGTTATGAGCTCGTAAGACTAAGTCCCGACAAATTTAGAGAGATTGATTTTACACTAATTGACCAATTCCAAAACTTAGTGCACATATATCTTAACTCTTAAGTAATCACATTATTCAAAGTTAAAATAAGTTAAGATATAATGTAAAAATACTAGTAATACTTATAAAAAAGCTAAAGTAAATTGTCTAGACTTGATTTTTATCAACGTGAGAAGTTAAGGCTGGCAGTAAACTAAATCATGGAAGCTCTACTTACTACTTTTTGGTATTGAATAAAGCAACAAATTAAAGACTACAAGTTACATCTTAGTATGGTGTCCACATCATGATTTGCATATGCAATATATATGTATGTCATAGGTGTCTCTTTGTTACTTTACTATCCCACTCATACAAAAAAGAATAGCACATAGACTATAGACTAGACAATATTAGCTGTCCTATAACAAAGGAATAATAAAAGATGGAATGTCGTTGTTGAGCAGTGGATTACATTGCATTATGTAATGTGTATAGTGTACAATGCACTGCAGAATCAGAGGTAGTAATATCAATAGTAAACAGAGGAAATGGGTGTGGGCCAGAGTTTGGTTTGTCTTTGGGGGTATAATGACAAGCTTTAATTTGTCTCTTGAACATTTTTTCTCCTCTTCTATTGGATTGCAATCATATACTACTTTTACACCATGGATTCCATTAATTTGAGTTAAGAGATGCAAACAAAGCTTTGAGTATAAAATGTGTATAAGAATGAAAATATTTATATTTTTAAAGATGGGGAGAGAGAGAGAGAGAGAGAGAATATAGTTAGAATGACAAAAGTAAGTCTTCCCAATTTGGTATTTTGGGGTTTTTAGCACTTTTTCCTCTACCTCCAGATTCTCCTATTGCTTGCTTCCAAAGAAATCCTGAAAAGGTAGAAACAATATTACAGTTGATTCAAGTACCGCAGCACCAAGCTTATATCAATTGAACCAGTTATTACCCTCTGCCACAACTATCACACAAAACACATCTATAATTATCACAAACACTCCCTTCTTCCACCATCGCTATCATGACTCATAACTTGTTTACATGTGACAGCTTTTGTTGGGATCAATGACGGTGTGTTTCGTGAGAGTGTTGATGTCTAGAAGCTTCTAGCTTCCATAGAAAACTTCCTTAACCAGACAGAGGATGCTGAATGATCATGATCATTATTTTGACGTTTATTTTCTGTTTAATATTTATTTATTCATACTGCAGATAACAAGTTAAGCCAACTCAGTTGGTAGTTGTGTAGAGGGTTCGAACCCGCGACATCTTACTTGTTAACCTTTAATGGGTGGATCCCAGCCATAAGGAATTTGACTAAAAAAAAGACGACTAAACATTGTCTATCATTCATAACTTCAACAAAAAGAAATCACGGATTCTGACAATATACAGGGTCTTGAGTAAAATGTAATCAACTTCAAACTACATATCCATTTAAAGTTGTAGACTTATAGTTGTTAGCATTACAAGGATCTAGTTTGTTGGGTTGGATGATGCTTTAGGTACTGTCGTTAGAAGAAAATAACTAACTGCCAGCAAGTCACTGTATAAGAAAATTTAGACATGCACTAAACAGTGTGTATTTTCAGAAACACTTTCGCCAAAAACTTACCCAAACATACACAATCTAGACTAACTCATTGACCTCTATTTTCTTTCGGTGCAATTTACCCTCACCATTTACCCATTTACCTTGCACACGAACCATACATTGATTGACTTCTGTTCATACTTCTCTAACTACACCCACGAATATTGAGATACAAATTGATTAGAGAGAGAACCTCAATGAAAGGAAGATCAAACACAACACAAATTTCTCATTGACATTAAAAGGATATTTTGGTTGATCTATCTAAAGTTTATATACTTAATGAGTTAATCTTCTGTACCCTAAAAATCTCCCCAATATTGGAGGAGAGTCCCAATTGAGTGAGGAGGAAGTTGACACCCCTCTAGTCCCTTCATCTTCCTCACCCTTGAAAACAATAAACCAAACAACAAAATTTAAAATAATTCTTCCCATTCCCTCTCCCCACATCTTATACTCGTCACTTCCATTATACAGATACTATATATGGATCCATGTTTGCTCATTGTGGATGATAACCTTGCATTTTCAATAACTCTTTACCTAATCATTATTCATACAGTTTGTAATAAATGAAAGGCACCAACTGTACGGCTAATATACATCAAAAGTTCACATCCCAAAAAGCCTTGTATTCTTTTAGAAGGGAGATCCTCGTGACTTAAATACCACATCAACCCTCCATCATGTTTGCAAAATGTAAGACATAAATACCATTACATATATCAAGAGAGGTTGGCATAGACAACGAATTTTGCTTTAATAACAAGGACACATGAAAAGAACAGTAATAACAGTCCAAGTCTTATCTCACTAGGATATGATACAAAAGAAGAGTAAATGAGAAATACGGAGCCTGTCAAACTACAAATCAAAGATGTAGATGTAGATAAACAATCAAGATACATATTGTTGTACAAACATAGTAATACCGTAAAAGAGAAAACTCCAATCGAACATCACCAATAACAACATAAGATAAAGAATGTTACTAAGGTATAAAGTTTGGTTGGATAATCAATACAATTCCAATTAACCATGAAACAAATACAACAATTCAGATATTTGATCCTATAGTATCCATGATTTAAAACAAAAAAGTTTAAACAAGAACCTGATTCAAGTATAGTATCATTCAGGAACTAATCATTCATCATTATCATCCTTCTTCTTCGGTTTGCGATACGTTTCCTCAGTGATTTTAGCCATGAACAAAACAGTATCAGCCAGCTTAGCAATATTAGGTACTTTATAATTCTGAGCCACATAAACTCCACAAACTGTTCCTGCTATAAAAGAGAAGCAACCCCGAATTATACCCATTGTTGCTCCAACACCAGCTATAAAATGAACCTTTACTATCAAGATATGGCTTCAGCAAGAACCACTGTTAGGATCACAATTAATCAAATCAACGTCTAGTCAAAATCATAATTTCAGAAGTGCTAAACCTAATTTTAGTGATTTCATTTGAATGGAGTATCATTCAGTTGTAGAATCATAGTGTGATATTCTAAAATTAATAAAAACATAAGATAAGTGATTAAGATTATGATGAGAATCGCGTTACTGCGACGCGATTCTCTATCGCGATGGAAACGCAACCTTGCAGGCGATATAGTAGAAGGAAAGGAAAATCTGATAAAATAAAGAGTGAAAAGAAAAACCTGAAGTGGAGTTCGCCACTGTTTCTGGTCTCCGATGACGATCAGCAGCCGCGTTTACCGGGCGGTTGTGTTGAGACTCCAACCCAAGGCGAAGCGGCGGTGACTGGATTTTGATTTGACGGAGCTGCTCGATTTTTGGTTTTGTGAAAAGGAAATATTTAAGTTTTTAAAACTAAAAGAGTTTTTGATTTTATATGGATAGAGTAGAAATGAAAATGAGTCGAGTCGAGTCGAACTCACTCACTTCGACTCGACTCGTTAAAAACTGATTTAGTTTATATTTCGGCTCGAGTTTGATACGAACTTTTTTTTAAACTTAAACTCGACTTGTTATAAGT